TATCGATGTTTATGTGTTCCATTTCATTTTTGACTACTTCCAATTTTCCCAGATTCATACTTCGTACGTACATTCCGTGTTCCGATTTTCAATGGATGTTTACAGCTGTTTCTCTTCATTTGGAATTGTGCCCCATTAGCAAATGAAGGTCCTGTGGGCTTTTTTCCATGGGCTTTACTCCATTTGTGTCATCACAGTCAGCTCTACTTTGAGGAGGCAGCTCTTCCCCAGTCGCATTTTGAGTGCCTTCCAACCTGAGGGGCTCATTTTATGACACTATATCTGACAGTGTTTCTCAGAGAATTCCCTCTTTAGGAAGACAGTAATAGCCTGAGACTTCTTTTGCTCTAGACTGTTAAATATCTCGAAGTCATGTCAACCAGCTCGGATGAATTCATGCCAATTTGTGTCGAATTTCTGCAGTTTCATTCTAATACTGGTGGCACTTTGGGAGATAAAAGTCCTAGTAACCATTTGGACATTTGCTGAGTCCTCGAGGTTGAGGTCTGTGTACTTACAGTAAGCCTGGTAGATTTATTTGAAGAATTCAGAAGGGTTCTCAGTTGGCTTTGCTGAACTGCCTGTACCATGCTCAAGTTCTTTTGTTTAGGAACTCCCTTCTTCAGACCTCGAGAACGCACCTTTATAGTGTTCCAGCTGCGGCAAGCCTTATCATTTAGATTCCAATTTGGCTCAGTTAGAAGAATTGCCTTGACTGAAGCCGTGGTCCTGTTTGGGTTTTTACTATGTGGATGTGTGCTGCTTCATCCTGTATCTTATCTCAGACCAGCCTCTTTCTGTCGCTGGTCAAGAGCACGGTCAATAGAGCCTGAATATCTGCCCAATTAGGGTGATGGATAGCAAAAATGTTAAGTGCTGTTGAGTTGGTTCCAACCCAGAGTGACCCTTGTAGGGTTTCCGAGTAGCGACTAGTGAGCTTGAACCGCCAACCTTGCAGTTCAAATGGCTTTGCAGTCTGGCGCATTAACCCACAGCGCCACACCAGGACTCTGGATAGCAAAAATAGTGGTTATGAAATCTGTCATTTTGATTGGGTCATTCTGGTGTGGTGCTGTGGGTCAGGCTGAATCACAAGGTTGGCAATTCAAGCCCACCAGCCACTCCCTGGAAACCCCACACAGGGTCACCATGAGGGGCAACCAACTCAGCGGCATTTAGCAACAACAACATCAGTATAGGAAGGGTTTGAATTTTTCCTATTTAACAAGTCTGAGGTAGAGAAAGGAGTATGTGCCTAGTAATATCCGGCTTCTGTATTCAATCTTATGGGCATCTATAGAGGGGATATTGCCCTGCCTCTATTTCAGGTAGCCCTTGATGGAAATGGGTCTTTTACAGGGTATGGGATAGGGAAATCACTTTCAACCTACTTTCCTCAGTGGCTGAATAAGGTGGGGCCAGTTCATTAGGTCAGGATATGTTTTTCCCTACTAGGTGCCGCTGGTGCACCAGGAGCTGTAATAAAGAATTCTACAGTCAAAAGCTACATTTCACATAAAAACAACCATTCATTTCTTTGTATATTCACATATAGGCTTGGTTAGAACTCTGTGTTTTCACTTTTTTTGCCTAATACTCATCTGTATTCAGTTTTTCCTCTGCATGGCTTTCACATTTATTTTTGGCAGCATAACTGCATTGTATTTCATATACGTGATGTAACCTACATACTCTTGGAATTCCAGGTTGTTTTCAGTTTCGTAAACATAAAAACAGAACAAAAACAAAGTAAGTTTACAGATAGGCAATCTGGCACAACAGTTGAATAATTCAAGCAGTAAGATGGTATAATAATTTAAGGATCCATTCCAAAAGGATGTGACCCAACAGAATGCGGAAATCATAGGACAATGTCATTGATATCCCATGCAAGTAATGTTTTACTAAAGGTAATAAGAAGCGGCTGCAATCATATATTGACAGAGAACTTCCAACGGTTAAAGTCAGATTCAGAATAGCAATATCATTGCTGATGTCCGTCGGATCTTGGCTGAAAGCAGAGAATACCAGAAAGATGTTTACCTGGGCTTTATTGACTATACAAAGGCTTTCGATTGTGTGGATCATAACAAGCTATGGACAACATTGCAATGTTTGAGTATTCCGGAACACTTAAGTGTGCTCATGTACATAGACCAAGAGGCAGTCCGAACAGAACAAGGGAACACCGGATGGTTTAAAATTAGGAAAGGTGTGCGCCAGGGTTGTACTCTTTCACCAAACTTGTTCAACCTGTATGCTGAACAAACAATCCGAGAAGCTGGGTTATATAAAGAAAAGTGTGGCATCAGGATTGGAGGAAGCTGCCACAGTAGGACACACTGACAAGTGAGTGGTGGTAAGGAAATTATGTTGTTGTTGTTAAGTGCCTTCGAGTTCAGTTCTGACTAATAGCAACACTTTACATGGTTTCCGAGAAGCAACTGGTGAGTTTGAACTGCCAACCTTGTGGTTCAAACCGACCTTGTGGTCCAAAGCTTATCCTACAACACCACACAAGGACTCTGGGATAATTATAAGCAGACAATATTTCAGTTCACATTTCTGATGACCTTCCTAACTGGATCTGGTGGTGAAGCTACAACTGGTTAGGGCTGAGTTGTCCTCCTGGAGGCGTTCAGGATTAGTCAGAGTCCAATACTTGGTTATCTTTCCTCCCACGACAAGTAGGCTCCCAGCCCTAAAACTTGTTTCACTCTGTGAGGACTGAGTTCTGCTGCTCCATTCAACTCCATCTGCAGTTTTTGGATGGCAGGGACCTTGTCTGGTCATCCTGTATTAAATTCTTCAGCCTCTACTTCACCAGTCACAAACAATCCAGTTGCTCTGTGTTAGAATCTACCAGATGGCAGCTAGTTTGTCCATTTTGGGATAAATGCTCAAGAAATGTTTATAGACATTCAACTTTTCAACTAGAGCAGTGATTTGCAACTTGGGATGTTTGTTAGAATCATTTGGAGAGCTTTAAAATAAAAAACACCCACGAATAGGCCCTCCCCCAGATCTGTAGTGTGGCATGTGTGTGTTTGTGTGTGTGGGGGAGGAGGTGTGAAAAGGTGGGCTCCAGGCATATAGGGCATCTTAAACTTCCCGGGAGGTTAGAATGTATAGCCTAGATGGAGAACCACTTAGCAAGAGGCCATGCAACCATATGCTAGGAGTGTTAAACTGAAGTAATAAATGGGAGATTATCCTTGAAAAATGTCTCATTTTGCACTACATCATTCTTTATATTTTTCATAGTGCTGTGAGATTTTCACATTTTACTAAAGAACCTATAACCCAGTTGGGGACACAGATATAATAACAGGAAGTTAGCCAAATGTGTGTGTGCATGCGTGCACACCCATGTGTGTCCAGGGAAAGTGCTGAGTTTGTCATTTGACGGCAACAGCAGCTGAAAGGAAGCCCAGGGTGGCGGAAGGAAGCTGCGTGGGGCTGGGTGGGGTGGGGGAGGTTTGTCACAAGATCCCACTGCGTCCCCTGGTGACTGGGGGAAGCTGTTCTGGCTCCACCTGTGAAAGGGGATGTTGGAGGGGTTGCAGGCATTCTGGGACCACAGTCCAAATGTGCAGTGGTCTGTAAAGGAGGCAGATTGAGTAGCAGGGAGCAGAGTTCTTGATCACTGTGGTCATCTCTCGAGGCATTGCAAGGCGTCAATGTTAGGATGTCCAGAACCTCAGTCTAAAAGCAGGTCCTTCCTGCTGACCAGTATCTCCAGCTTCCCCTCCTTCCAGCCCCTCAACCTGTGTGATATCTCTGAGCCCATCTTCCCTCCTCCTCCTTCAAGCATCCAGCTCAGCTGAGACACAGGCCTGGCATTACTTTCTCTACCTACAGCTGGCTGGGTGGCCCTCTCCTGGGAACAGGGATTCCACTCTGGACACCTGGACCTCCTCTAGGTAGGGGGAGGCACCTACCACACCTGTCCTCATCACCCAGTACAGGCCAGCCTGACCTCCAGGAGCACCTACAGAATGGAGTGACTTAGTACTTGAATGAGTGTGTGGTGGGTGAGTCAGTGAGTGCAGAACCTAGGGAGCAAGGGTGTGGGGGAATTGGTAAATGACTGGGTGTGTGGGTGAGTGGTGAATGAATGAGTGGGTGTTGAATGAATGGTCGGCAGGAAAGGAGTGAGTGAGAGAACAAATGGGTGAGTGAATGAACAAGTGGTGGTAAATGAATGAATAAAAGGGCTGCTCCTGGGAAACCCTATACAGGGTCGCTATGGGTCAGAACAGACTCCACAGCACTTCACAACAAAAACAAGAAAGTGAACGAATGAATGAGTGGGCTGGAAAGTGAGTGGGTGAGTGAATGGGTGGTTGGGTGACCAAGTGAGTGGGTGGGTGGTGGGTGAGAGAATGAACAAGTGGTAAATGAATGAATGAACGAGTGGATAGTAAATTAATGCATGAATGAATGGGTGAGTGATGAGTGGGTGGGTAAGTGATGAACCAATAAACCCGTTGGTGAGTGAGTGACTAGGTGGGTGAGTGGGTGAACGTATGATGAACGAGTGGGTGGGTGAGGGAGTGAGTTAGGGGTGAATGGTCTGTTATCCTAGGACAGCTCGTGAGTGAATTTGTAAATGAGTGGACAGATGGAAAATGAGGAAGTAAGTGAACGAGTGCATTAGCAAAGCAGGTATGAATGAAAGGGGAGTGAGTGGGGGACGGCGCGCGACTTCCAGCATCCCGCGCGGCCGCGTGGCTGGGGCGTGTCCTCGTGACCGGGCCCAGGCCGGCGGGGACTTGTCCGGAGGGCTGGGGCGTGTCCTTGCGGCAGTGCTCGGGCTGGCAGGGGAGTGTCCTGAGGGCTAGGGCGTGTCCTCGAGGAGGAGTCCGGGCCGGCAGGGGCGTGTCCTGAGGGTCGGGCGAGTCCTTGCGGTGGGGCCCGGGTTGGCGGGGGCGTGTCCTCGCAGAGGTCTGGCTGGCGGGCGGTGGTGTGGAGGAAGTCACGTGGGCGCGCGGGTTCACATGACTGGCCGCGCTATGGACCCGCTGCCTCCCGCGGCAGTCGCGGCGGCAGCTGAGTCGGAGGTTGGCGAAGAGGAGGCGGGTCCCCCAGTTGCAGGTAGAGTTGGTTCGGTGGGTGGCAGGCGGCTCCTTCCTTGGGGCGACCTCGGAGCCAGGCTTCGCGCGCTTCCTGCCGCCGGAGGGGGCGCCCCGCCCGAACCTGGTCCCACCGACCCGCGTGAGCGGAGGGATCTGGGGGCCTGGGTTCGCATCCCGGGTTCGCCGCCATGCCCGAGTTCTAACCCGAGCCACCTGCTCAGGTTCGGAAGTTCTGACTCTGCTCGGGCGTGTCTCCGGGACTTTTCCAGCGCCTGCTTGGGCTGTCCTCAGGGACATGCAGCGCCCCCAAACTTCCTGGGGGCCTCGAGCCCAGGGGATCTTTATGGGGGCGGGCCCCTGCCCTCCTCCAACTTTGACTATTTTCCTCTACTTACTCCCGTGTTCTTCTCATGGCTCCTTCTTGAGCTTGTGGTCTTGGTCCTATATGTTCCCACCTGTTAACTTGCTCCGTAAGGATCTCTGGTAGCGTAGTTATGAGTCTGGCTACCTGCCGGGAGAAAGATGCGAAACCCTACTCCACAGAAACCCTACTCCACAGTACACCACCAACTTGCTCTGTAAATGACTTCATTAAAAGGAAAAGAAAGCTCTAGCATTGACAATTCCACAACGGATGTGAGTTAATTCTTCATGGAGCGTGGAGGAGGACTCTTGTCTGCCTGTGTTGTCACTGAGGAGGAAAATAGTGGACTGTGATTGTGTTAATAAAACTTCTATACACTACCGGACAGATTAGGGTCTTGGAGTTCTGTAGCATAGTAGTTATGAGTCGGGCTGCTAAATTCAAGGCCAGCAATTCAAAACTACCAGCGAGCGAAAGAAATGAGTCGAAACCAACTCCTTGGCAAACCACCAAGAAGCAGACAGTCGTCTTTTGAACCAAAAGCTTGGTTGGTTGGGCTCCTTGAAGTAGCCTTAAGTTGTGTATTTTTCCTACTTGACTTTTGTTTCTGGTTGTGTTCATAGGTCCCAAGTTTAAGGCTAGTGGAGGCACAGTGTTTAAGTGCTTGTCTATTTACCCAAAGGTCAGTAGTTTGTACCCACCATCTCATCTGCTCTGGGGGAAAAAGAGGTGGCATTTTGCCATTTTTATTCTAACTCTGTAACCTCAAAATATACCATCCACCAAGGGTCAGTATCCAAAACACAGAAAGAACATCCACAGTCAATTAGAAGAAGAAAAAGAAAAAAAAAAAAGACAGCTCTATAAGAACTGGGCAGAAAAGGGGAACTGACAGCTCTCTGTACTGGAGGCTGTTCCAAGGGAAATAAGCAAGAAAAAAAGAAAAAAACTAAACATCACTGATAATCAGGGAAATGCAGATTAAAACAAAATAAAATACCTCAGTTTTTATAAATCTGAAGGGATTCAATGATAGTATTTCTGTTAAGGGGAGGGGACATTGGAATATACTACTGTTGGTAGTAGAGTTATGGTGTGGTGCTGTAGGATAAGCACTGGACTGCAAGGTCAGTTTGAACCGAAAGGTTGGTGGTTCAAACTCACCGGCTGCTCTTTGGAAACCCTATGCAGAGTCGCTGTGAGTTGGAACAGACTTGATGGCAACACTGTTGGAAGTAGGGAGGAGCTCTAGTGGTGATGTGGTTAAGGTGCTCAGCTGTTAACCAAAAGGTCAATGGATTGAATCCACCAGCTGTTCCCCAGAAAAAAAGAGGTGATAGTCTGTTTCTGTAAAGATTGGCAGTCATGGGAGCTAAATGAGACAGTTCTACTCTGCACTAAAGATATGTGTCAGAATCAAGTGGGCCAGTTGACTACACTGTCTGCCGACCCCCCCCAGTCTGGACCCATTCCCCTGGCCAGATATCTTGAGAATGGGAGGCTTCCATTGCATAGGAACATTCATTCCACCTGGTGGGGAAGTGGTTCAGAGTTGCTAGCTGTGGCACAGACATGTCTTGTAAGACTAGTCCAGTGGCTGCCATTCTAGTGTGATTAGCAGATAATAGAAGCCTCTGTATGACACTGTTCTCCCTTTGGTCACCTGGAATTCCCATGGAATTCCTGGAATTATTTGGGGCCATGGTGATGTTAGTAGGAGTGCTAATGTTGCCCACTGACATCTATTGTGGTGGTGGTATTAGGTGCCGAGAGTTGGTTCCGACTCACAGTGATTCTGTGCACAATAGAACGAAACACTACCCTGCATCCTCACAATTGTTATGTTTGAGCCCATTGTTGGAGCCGCTGTGTCAGTCCATCTCATTGGAGGTCTGCTCTCTCTCTGATCCTCCACTACCGAGTGACATTTGAGAACTGAGCACTGTCCAGTCTGCGGCCTTTCTATTAGTCTGTGAGTCTCAGAGTGTGGCTCATAGGCTCTGGGGGGCATCCTGTTATGTCCAGCCATTGTGTGACCCTCCTGTCAGGGCACTGAATTGGCTAAAGAGAACTTTTTCACATTGAGGAAACTAAAATCTAGAGGTCAATAATTTGCCCTAAGTTGGGGCATTTCCCCAGTTGCCTTGCTGTGGTTGTAGACCTCTTATCAAGAGTGAACCTGAATACAGAGCTCATGGGTATTGCAAAAGGCTAAGCATTCAGCTAGAAACTGAAAAGTTGGAGGTTCAAACCATCCAGAAGTGCTCCTGAAAAATCACTCATTGAAAACCCGGTGGAGCACAGGTCTACTCTGAAACACATGGGGGCGCCACAGGTGGAGCTGATTGGAAGCCAGCTGTTGTTTTTTTAAACGCATATCCTTAGCTGTAAGGAGTCCTGGTGGCCTAGTGGATTATGAGCTGGGCTACTAACCCAAAATGTCAGTTGAGTGAATCTGCCAGTTGCTCTGTGGGAGAAAGATGAGCTTTCTGCTCCCTTAAAGATTTACAACCATGGAAACCCTAATACAGGGTTGCTCTGAGTTGAAACTAATTCAGTGGCATACAACCACTGCCACCACCAACCCTATAGGGTTCCTAAGAGATCTTTATGGGATCAAGCAGACTGCCATGGTTTTCTCTTGTGGAATCGATGGTGGATTCTAATTGCCGACCTTTTGGGTAACGGCCAAGCACTCAACCACTATGCCACCAGGGCTAGGCTACTGCCAGCTGTCTCAGCAATGTGGGGTTGTCATGGATTGATTGTGCCCCCCAAAGTGTCTGTCAGCTTGACTGGGCCACAATTCTTAGTGGTTTGTCAGTTTTGCAATGATGTAGTTTGGCAGCTGTGCAGTGATGTGATCAGCCTATCTGGTGGACAGGTAGAAGGGGATGAGGGTGGGATGTAAACCTCTTACTTAGGGCATAGCTCTGATCCATGTAAGGGGAGTTTCCTTGGAATGTGGCTGTATCACCTTGTATCTTACAAGAGATAAAGAACAGAGAAGGGAGCAGAGATGAGAGGGACATCATTACCACCAAGAAAGAAGAGTCAAGAGTAGAGCACATGCCTGGGTCTCTGTGCTGGACCCTAGACACAAGAGAAAGCCTTCCCCTAGAGCTGCCACCCTGAACTTAGACTTCTAGCCTCCTAAACTGTGAAGGTGCCATGGCCCCATAGGATAAGCATTGGAGTTGCTTTTTTTAAATAAGTTGCTTTGTAGATGTTCTTTCTATAGTTTGGTACTGACCCTTTGTGGATGATATTTCTTGGAGTTACAGAGCTCAGTGACTGTGACTTAGAATAAGAATGGCAAATTTACAGGGTACATAAGGGGGCTTTCAAAAAGTTCACAGAAAAATTCCATTATCCTTTTTTTTTTTTTTCCCCCGGAATCTTTTGAAGCCCCCTTGTACAATTATCACTGTGTTCCATAGTGGAGTACTGGTGTGGTGCTATGGGTTAACGTGCTGGACTGCAAGGTTGGTTTGAACCACAAGGTCAACGGTTCAAGCTCACCAGCCATTCCTTGGAAACCCCACACAGGGTCGCTATGTGTCGGAACCAACTCAATGGCACTGAACAGCAACAATAACAATCATAGCTCTCAGTTGAGTCTCGGTGTGGCGCTATAAGACAAGGACTGGACTGCTAACCAAAAGGTTGGCAGTTCAAACCCACCAGTCGTCCTTGGAAGCGCTGTACAGGATTGCTATGAGTTGGAACCAACATGGCCGCATTTAACTGCAGCAGCAACAATATCCTCATAAAGGAGTCCTGGTGACGCAGCAGTCAGGTGCTCAGCTGCTAGCAAAAGGCAACTCGGACCCAGCAGCCATTTCCTGGGAGAAAGATGAAGCCATCTGCTCCCATGAAGATTGACAGTTTTGGAAACCCTGTGGGGCAGTTCTGCTCTGTCCTATATAAGGAATTGGAATTGACTCGACATCAACAGGTTTTTATTTGTTTATGAATCATTCTTTTCATGGTGACCCATGGGGGTACAGAGTAGAATTGTGCTTTACAGGATGTTTACAGCTGTCATCTTTATGGCAGTGCAAACGATTAAGCATTCAACAACTAGCTGAAGGGTTGGTATTTTGAAGCACCCAAAAGTGCCTTGGAAGAAAGACCTGGCAATCTGCTTCCAAAAGATCACAGCTTTGAAAACCCTTAGGAGCACAATTCTACTCTTGACACTCATACAGGTTTGCCATGATTGGGAATCTATGGCAGCTAACACAATCTTGATGGAAGCAGATCACCAGGACTTTCTTCTGAGTGCTGCAAGGTGGGTTCCAGCTGCCTACCTTTAGGTTAGTAGTTGAAGGTATGAGTCCAGATGGATTCAAAGGCCACTATGGATTCTATTTGGTTGGATCATTTCTCCGCCTCATACCGTCCTGTGGGCCTGAATGTCATCTTTGGAACTAGGGAGAATGGAGTGGTGTCTCTAGCCTCAAAATTCTGTATCTTCCATTCAGCCCTGTGTCTGCTCAGACCTGGGGTGGACTCCCAACTCCTTAGCCATGCACCCACCTTTGCCTGACTTCTGCCATGTAGTTGCTGGTCCCTGCTCTTCTTCGTTTCCATATGCACATTGTAGGACTTCACCCGGCTATCATTTCCGGTGTCTGTGTGTTACTGTGATA